CAGTTTATAAACTCTCAAAAACTACCACTACATTTATATTTTTAGAACGGAATCCTTGTTAGGTATATGAATCATTCAAGGTCGCGGATATTCTCGCTGTCCGCCCGTTTTAATACCGATTGGGTGTTTGCTAATCAGCCGTTTTTTAAGGCGATTTTACCGATCGCGCTATCAATATGTTTCTCGTCCGATTTATTTTGGGTTCAGATACTTTTGATTCATCTTCAATTAATTCAGAATACACAGAAATGCATTCCTGTGGTGGAAATCACGATATTTTAGACATTATGAATGGGAGGATGTAACAGAATATGATAGAGACCCACCAAACGTATCATTTTCCACTCTACCAATTAAAAAAAACAATATCAAGTAAACCATTGTATAATTTCCCTCATTTTTACAGAGCATTTTTTTAAACAAATAATTGAAGAAACGTAACTGCTTATTTTTGAGTAATATTTGTTAAATATTGTTTAATTGACAAATTTCAACCTAAAAGCTCTTTGTATTTTAAAGAATTTTATCTAAACAAGCATTATTGAAAGATCTGTATTTACTTACTGTATTCACCATAATTGCTATTCAGAAACATTTTGGTGTTCAAAGGGTCAACTTTATTTGAATGGGGCAATGCTTGGAGAGGGATTTCAAAAAAGGTACTAGAAACATTTCTTCAAGTAAATTTAGTATTATATGATAATGATGTTCTAAAATACTTATCTTTTAATATATAAATAACTAGCGGATGTACCCGGCTTCGCCCGGGTTTTACCCGAGTAAAGGTTTGTCTAACGAACATTTGTTAAAACAATTCTCTATAAACTTATAAAAAAAATAAAAGATATATTTTGATAATTTGAAACTCGTAAATTTGAATCTCTCGATAAAAGTGAACATTTTTTCCCGGTCCCTGTGTGCCGTGTCATCCTGAAATTTGTCTTTCCTAATTTTCTACATTACAAAATCATCGTTTTATCTAGTGAACATTTTTCCCGGTCCCTTGAAAAATACTCGATAAGTTGAATAAAATCAATATTAATGTAAAAGCGGTACCAAGTTAAATGGAGTCCCGTTATCCTTGCTGACTACTGCTGGACACTAAAGAGGGATGTACCACAAGCAAAGAATAAAAGAAAATCCACCGTCACTATACTTTTCAATAAAATAAATATATCTCGTTAAAATAGGCCTATATATTGAAAACATTTCCAAATCTCAAGTAGGTGTATTTCAAAAATCTTGCGTGATAGAAAAAAAAAAATGGTATATATGGAATCAGCACAAAGAGTTAAATTTATTTAAGATGCTGTTTCTTTTGGGACAAAGAAAAATAATTTTTGATAAACCAGTGTGATGTAATAAGGTTTATGCAATAATGCTTACGTAAATCTTTTTGCTGTATTTATCCCAATACCAAAAAAAAAAGGCTGTCACGCAAAAACCATGGGTGATGGAAAATTTCGGATTATATTTTGAGTTCAGCATGAAAAGTTACACTATAAGCACCATCAGATTCTCTTGGGCAAAAATGTTGTTGACCAGTGTTATCTACCATTTACTTGAAAAAATAAATTCATGCTCAATTTATTTTATTTTAAAAGCTTTTATTTAACTAGCTTCCAACTTTGTCTGTTTGTTTCCAAATTTTATAATCAATTTTTATATATTTTATAGAGCTCCTAGATGTCTGAAATTTGGTACACTTATTCATTGATGACAAGGGCAGGAGCTAATATAATTAACTTCTCCTTTTGGTTAAATTTTATGAAAACTTTTTTTAACGGCTATTTTTTATTAATTAAGCTCTCTGACCATTTAGATGCTCCTTAATAAAATCTCCCTAAAGGACAATTTGACTCTGCCACTATATGTTGTCATTTAAATAATTTAATGGTGTGTGACGTTTCGTCAACAGCATTGTTACCATCATCAGACAAAAGAATAAACGAGAAAAAAATACGTGGGTGAAGAAAATCCAGAGCTATTAATGAGAAAAAATCGCGCACTAATAATTGTTGCCATTTGGAGAAAGTGATGTGTGAGGGTGTTGAAGTTTTTTGAGAGAGATGTAGAGATGATTATTAATTATGCTTGTAAAATGAAGAGACGAGGGAGTGTAACTATGTTGGAATTTAACAGGGATAATAAGTTTGGCGGGCGCTGACCTAATTTAGCTACTGGCTGGAAGAGGACGGGATCTTTATTTTTAACTTGTTTTGGGGAGGACATTTGTTATGGTTTCGAGATATTCCCTCTCAGGAGAGAAATCACAGGAGATTTCTGAAATTAAGAAATGCGTGTCACCTATGTTAATTTATATTTAAAATTTTGATTTTTTTATCGTTGATTAAGGTAGCTAAAATGATCCGTGTAAAAGGGCAATGGCGTGACAGTGACAAATAATTCGAGTTGGGATGTTTAAATAAAATAGTGAATATGACAATGATTTTTACAAAATTTCAAGTATTTGATTAAGAAATTGGTGTTTTGGTATGAAAATGATATATTAAGAAAAACACAAAAATAAGTTTAGAATTATGATATAATGAGATTTTTTAAAATATAATAATAATGTTTTTTCTTTAAGTTGTAGCTTTGGATAATGCCATTTTAGGTAAATTTAGGAACGATATGTAAAATTAGTAAGTTGATAAGAATGTGTGATGGGCGATTTTTTTTTTCAAGTAAAATTGAAAGTAATGAATTATAATTTGTAATTTGATTTAAAAAAGAGCGAAAATTGATAAATGAGAGTATAAAAGAATTAAAAATTGAATTAAAAATAATGTAAAAAGCTAAAAATTTAATTAAAATGCTTAAAGTGAAAATAACCCAAATTTTATGGGGAATCAAGTTGTGAGCTTGATGAGAAAGTTATGTAGGCTTATAAAAACACATTTTTGATGAAAGTTCAGTCAGGAGACTTGGTCTTGGGTTGTCGTCCTGCTGACGTAGAAGGCGCTCCGTGTAGGGCTTGTAGAAGTTTGTAGCTTCTGTAAAGTTGATTGCGGCTTGTCGCCTTGAGCATTGTCTCGATGTCAGGCCGAAGGTGGGGAACTTCTCATCGGGTTTGCGCCACTCCGCTCTGCGGTTTCCATGTCTTGCGGATTTTAGGCTGTGTCGTTGGGGTGGTCAGCTTGCTCCTGGCGTGTGTTAGCGGGCCTGCGGAGGTCCCTTGGGGAGTCGTTTCCTCCTCCTCAAATATTGTCTCTTGTTTATGGAGAGATTGCTCGTTGTTTCGTTGGAATAGCGGGCTTGTTCCTCTATATTTTCTCTTTCTCGCCTCTATCTGGACAGGCTTCTTACCTTCTCTTCGTTGTGTCATCCTGTCGACTCTTATAGTATCCTGTCGTTGTGGAATCCTGTCGACTCAATCTATGGTGAGATCCTGTCGACTCTCGCTATACTGTGTTAACCGAGAGGAACAGTCAGGACGTGGAGAGTTTTCCAGTACCTCTCTTCACTTTGGAAGACCTTTAACAGTTCTCGCAGAGTACAGGCAATCGTGGTCGAGGCAGAGCGTAAGATTCGGAATTTCACACAATAAACGAAGGGACACAGTTGTACTAGGAAAGTTCCATTAACAGATAGGAGTCGAGCTCGGAGCGAAAAATGGAGATAGAAGAGTTCTTACTGTTCTACATTGTCGATGAGGTGGACCTTGGACACAACCAACGAGGGCTCCCGCTGATGGTGAAGTGACTATATTTTCGGCTAGGGCGGAGGTCTTATATATCTTTGCCAAGAGGAAGTATTGAGTTTCAGCGTATGAAACAAGGGTGTGGATCGGAAGAGATCATTGTACACTGGCAACGCCCTGCCATCTTCTAGGCCTCGTTGGAATTCTATCTCTCAATATCTTGCTTTAGCTCAACTCTTAATCTATTACAGTTTTATTTATTTATCTTCAGTTTGTACAAAGTATATTACGTATGGTGATGTAATGACACATGTCAATCATGTGTATAATTATTTACAGAAGTGTTTATTATACAACATAACAATCTTGTTATAAGTATTATACAATATGGGGTTGTTGGTTTAAATTGCCATATACAGTAAAACTCCTCTATAGTGAACCCCAATGGGACAGAGCTTTTGGTTCACTATAGCCACGATTCACTATAGCCACGGTTTGACTATTTTTTTTTTTTTTTTACTTTTCAAAATTTTTAGGCTGTATAATTAAAGGACAGTCATGCACACAGGAAAAGACATCCACTTAATAATGATCACTTCGTTTTAATACCCTAAATTGGCCTATTTCCTTACATTAATGCTGAATATCAAAAGAAGTCATTTGCTAATAGGTTCTTCTTATCATTAGCATATGTGGACCTCTATGTATGATTCATAAATTAAGACAAATCCTAAGCACAAAGCTTATATATATATATATTTATTTATAAATGACTGCGGCGTATAATTATAATGCTATACAATCAGTTTAACCGCATAAGTTTCTTTTTTATTTTTATTTATGAAAAATCATTTTTAATTTCAAAGAGAAATATTTTAATATTTCTAACTTTTGGATGACGTATGAAAAGGTTGAATATATGAAGAGTGATGGTCTATATATGAAAGGGTGACGTATGGAAGGGTGAAAATATGAAGAGTAATGGCGAACGGAAGAATAAAAGTGTCCAGGAGCGGGAATCGAACCCACAACCTTCTGCTTACCGGGCAGGTGCCATGTCCACTAGGCTATCCTGGACGTATTTCTCCGTTCGTAAATAATATTTAAACTGACTAATAATACTTATAAATGACTGCGGCGTATAATTATAATGCTATACAATCAGTTTAACCGCATAAGTTTCTTTTTTATTTATGAAAAATCATTTTTAATTTCAAAGAGAAATATTTTAATATTTCTAACTTTTGGATGACGTATGAAAAGGTTGAATATATGAAGAGTGATGGTCTATATATGAAAGGATGACGTATGGAAGGGTGAAAAATATGAAGAGTAATGGCGAACGGAAAAATAAAAGTGTCCAGGAGCGGGAATCGAACCCACAACCTTCTGCTTACCGGGCAGGTGCCATGTCCACTAGTTGTGGGTTCGATTCCCGCTCCTGGACACTTTTATTTTTCCGTTCGCCATTACTCTTCATATTTTCACCCTTCCATACGTCATCCTTTCATATATAGACCATCACTCTTCATATTTTCAACCTTTTCATACGTCATCCAAAAGTTAGAAATATTAAAATATTTATCTTTGAAATTAAAAATGATTTTTCATAAATAAAAAAGAAACTTATGCGGTTAAACTGATTGTATAGCATTATATATATATATATATATATATATATATATATATATATATATATATATGTAATATTGTTGCAATGTGCCTACGTATGGATGAACTGGCAGTCGTGTACGTGAGGCGAGTGTTGATGATCTTCCCACACGCGGACAACAAGAAGCAGAGGCAGGGCTAGATGTTAGCACAAAGAGGGATCGGGGACAGCCCACGGGACAGAGGTAGAGGCCATGACACAAACTTGATGCTTATCCCCGAGACATGCAGGGAGAGACTGTATGAGAGAGACAGCCTGAAGCGGACTCTCGAGAAACACACCCTAGAACCATCTGCCGATCCCCTGCCAAAACTTGTCCTGTTTATTGGGGGGTCTCTATAAGAATGTCCCTCAGGACCCCACATGGGCTTTGGCATTTTCCTTTTTCCTCCCTTCTGTCCCTGCTGCCACCAGCTGACCTCTCTATGGATTTTTATTTTCACGTCAACATTTTTAGTGTTACATACAAATAGGGGTTTACAGGTATTATTAATAAAGATATAGCATATATACAAAATATGGGGGTGGCAGCAAACAGAAACGGTGTACATTTTAATACAGTTTAAAATATACTATAGAATGTGCCCCCGGTGATGAAGGTTTGTTTGGGGGAAATTAAATAACATGAATGACCTAACAAACCTATTATAAAATCAAAAGAAAAAATAATAATTTGAGCACAAATTAGATAAAATTATTATTAATATAGGAGAATAAAATAGGACAATAATGATGACGTCTCAATAAGATATGGAATATGATGAAAGAAAAATACATAAGAATAAATGATAAAATTGAGAAAATATGCAAAATAAATCTAGAAATGCCGCGTAAAAGTAATTCACTTATATAAAAAAAAATTGAGAACCAATTGAATGAAAAAAAATAACTAAAAGAAAAGCATAAAGTATTAAGTTGAACTAAGGTGTGTTGTGTGTGTGTGTGTGTGTGTTGTAAGTTGACGCAGAGGGTTGATGAGGGCATATTCCTGTAAAGAAATAGCTTAATGAGTTCTGCAATGCAGTACAAACTTGTGTTAGTGAGGTACTGTTTTCATTAACAGAACTTTCAAGATGTTCCGTCTGCATTATTAGTTCAGACTAGCAGGGAGACGTAGGTAGGTTGAAGAATGTGGAAAGGGAAAGGTAAACGCAAGAGATGTATTGCTGCCAATAATTATGGTACACGGCTTGTATGATGGAAAAAAAAAGATAAAAAATGATAAAATGATAAAAATGATGAACCGGGTAAAAAAAAAAAAGGAATCTAGCTGGGTATCCTGAACTCACTATTGGGAACGATATAGCGAGGAAGGATGTTTCCAGTTGGATTTAAAAAAAAAATCTGGCGAGCATGAATCTCTTGAGGGGAGTATATGAGATTGGGAAATGAAGAAAGGGAAGGTAGTTGCAAGGGTTGTTCTGTTGCCAATGATGATTTCACCCGACTTGAATGGTAATAAAAAAAAAAGAAAAAATTATGATTGGTAATGATGAGCCGGGTGATAAGAAAAATAATCTAGCTGGGTATCCTGGACTCACTATTGGGAATGATATAGCGAGGAAGGATTTCTCAGTTGGATTAATTAATGAAAAAAAAATGTTTGGCGAACAGGAAGCCCTTGGGGGTAATGCATGAGAAGGTATGGGTGGGGGAGTTTAGGAGACATCAACGATAAAATTAGAAAAACGAAATAGATAAAAAATATAAATTCAAAAATATCTTAAACTATTAAAAAATATTATTAACGTTGTCAATATATTAAAAGTTTAAAAATGATGAGAAAGATGGTTGAAGTTATAATATGGTTGTAATAAGCCTAGAGAGATAATGAAAAAAAGGTATAATTAGTTGTTGTTGGCTGACGGCATTGCTAATGATGGTTAAATGAAACATAAAATAATAATAAAGATGAATATAATTGATTATATTATATTATATTATATTGATAATGTTATATTAATTTAAATAGTAATGTACAGGTAAAATAATGAATTTTAGGAATTTATAATAACAATTCTATTGCTATAAATAGGGTATCGATGAGTAGTTAATTCAGTGCGAAAAAAAAACGGAGATAGTGTTACATTAAATAGTTCTCTAGAGAAAATTCTCCTACCAGATGGATGTCTTGAACGGGTCTTGTGGAGTCGCTTGCGATGAGGCTTGGTGATCACTTTTTGCGGTGGTTGCCATGGGACATGGTCGGTGCTGGTTGGCGGAGCAATGCCAGGATTCTTCGATGGATCTTGTCTGCTTGAATGCGCCGTTGACCACCGGTGCCTCTGTCATCCTCTGCATGCTGCTGTCCTCAGTTATCCTGTCGACTTTCTGTAATATTGTTGCAATGTGCCTACGTATGGATGAACTGGCAGTCGCGTGTACGTGAGGCGAGTGTTGATGATCTTCCCACACGCGGACAACAAGAAGCAGAGGCAGGGCTAGATGTTAGCACAAAGAGGGATCGGGGACAGCCCACGGGACAGAGGTAGAGGCCATGACACAAACTTGATGCTTATCCCCGAGACATGCAGGGAGAGACTGTATGAGAGAGACAGCCTGAAGCGGACTCTCGAGAAACACACCCTAGAACCATCTGCCGATCCCTTGCCAAAACTTGTCCTGTTTATTGGGGGGTCTCTAAAAGAATGTCCCTCGGGACCCCACATGGGCTTTGGCATTTTCCTTTTTCCACCCCTCTGTCCCTGCTGCCACCAGCTGACCTCTCTATGGATTTTTAATTTCACGTCAACATTTTTAGTGTTACATACAAATAGGGGTTTACAGGTATTATTAATGAAGATATAGCATATATACAAAATATGGGGGTGGCAGCAAACAGAAACGGTGTACATTTTAATACAGTTTAAAATATACTATATATATACATATATATATTAAAATATACTATATATATATATGTCCGTTAAATAAGTTCCACGGGGCACCACTGTCATGAGGATCGCTTTTAGGCTCGAGCCGACTGCACGGGCTCGTAGCTTGTTCTCCCCACTCCAATTTCCCATCAAGGACACGTCGCTGGTAAGCTTAGTTTTGGCTGAGCAGCCGTTTGTGATGGAGCTTCCCCACATGTCTCCCGCCAGCTGTGAATTACGGTCAGTAATTCGCTTTTTGGCCGCAAAGAAGAATTCGGCAAAGGACATTCATACTGAACTCTGTCAAGTGTATGGAGAAGGGTGTATGAGTTTCGGGATGGTGCGCAGATGGGTCAGAGAATTTGAAAACGGCCGAACAGACGTCCACGATGAACCGCGTGCTGGACGGCCATCGGTTTCAAACGAAACCATTGCCAAAGTCGAAGCGGCAATGCTTGAAGATCGACGGGTTACTGCGCACCATCCCGGAACTCATACACCCTTCTCCATACACTTGACAGAGTTCAGTATGAATGTCCTTTGCCGAATTCTTCTTTGCGGCCAAAAAGCGAATTACTGACCGTAATTCACAGCTGGCGGGAGACATGTGGGGAAGCTCCATCACAAACGGCTGCTCAGCCAAAACTAAGCTTACCAGCGACGTGTCCTTGGTGGGAAATTGGAGTGGGGAGAACAAGCTACGAGCCCGTGCAGTCGGCTCGAGCCTAAAAGCGATCCTCATGACAGTGGTGCCCCGTGGAACTTATTTAACGGACAACCCTCGTATATTAAGAAAAAGGCTTCTTCTTATCGAGCTACTGAAAGTTGCTGATGGCTTGCGCCATCTATCGGAATAAATATAAACTATTCTCGTTGATTTTTAATTATTCCAGAATTGGCCAAAAACCCATTCTTGATTAATCAAGAAAAGCTAACCACGGACGCGTTTCGGACTGTTGGCCCTCATCAGCGTGGTGCAAGCTCTACCTCAACGACCAAAAAAAAGATCATTAAGGCATCCTGAAAAATCATGAAACGGGTAGTTAAGGCCAGAATTGCGTGAGAACGCTACACAATGTGAAAAAATAGTACAAATGTAATATTGTACTGGGATAAGGTGCATAAATTAAGAAAAAGGCTTCTTCTTATTGAGCTTTTTTTTTGGTCGTTGAGGTACAGCTTGCACCACGCTCATGAGGGCCAACAGCCCGAAACGCGTCCGTGGTTAGCTTTTCTTGATTAATCAAGAATGGGTATTTGGCCAATTCTGGAATAATTAAAAATCAACGAGGATAGTAGATATTTATTCCGATAGATGGCGCAAGCCATCAGCAACTTTCAGTTGCTCGATAAGAAGAAGCCTTTTTCTTAATTTATGCACCTTATCCCAGTACAATATTACATTTGTACTATTTTTTCATATATATATATATATATATATAAATGAATGTATGTGTGTGTGTCTGTCCTTTATGCCTGACCAAACCACTCATTGGAACGCCATGAAACTTAGGGAAGTTATTTAGTATAGTACTGGGAAGGTTTCTGAGAAATAATTTCTTGAATATCTTGAATATCCTTAGAGTTATTTGCAGATTTGTAGATTTAACTCGCAAGCAGCGCCACCATTGCGACGATGATAACAAGTTTTTTTTATTTATAAGTTTTATTATCACTAAGTTTATTATCTTAAAGATTATTTATCAAAAGTAAGATGATCTCAGGATGACACGGCAATTTATTTGAGACAAGAATAATGATACAATTCCAAGGCAAAGATACTATTCCTTTAACTTCCAATTACCGAGGGAACCAATTAATATTGATTTTATTCAACTTATCAAGTATTTTTCAAGGGACCGGGAAAAAATGTTCGCTAGATGAAACGATGATTTTGTA